AGATGATGGCAGTATTTATCGTCCACGCTCCAGACCACTGCCAGACATGGTAGCTCATAATGTAGATAGGGGCGTTCGGTGTCGGAGAGTTTTCGGCTGGCATAAGCGCCGATGTGTTCAACACCGTCGGCATTCCGCTGGAGTAGCACTGCCCCTAGACCAACTTGGCTAACATCAGCGTGTACTTCAGTGGTACATTCATGATTGAAGTACTTAGTAAAGGGCAGGCAGTGAGTTTTTGTTTTGTCGTCCGCAAAGCAGTTTCTTGCGCAGAGCTCCATTCAAACTGGACGCCCTAGTTAAGGAGATCAGTTAGGGGAGCTGCAATAGATGCGAAGTGTGGACTCGACCTCTACAAGTAAGATGCCGTACCCATGAAAAATTAAACTTGTTCTACGCTGGCTGGTGTTAGATATTCCAACACTGCTGCGATGCGCTCCGGCAGCCGCTGTAAATCATAAGGAGAAATGCTTGCCCTAGGTGTGCTATCTCATACAGCCAGAACTGGAATTTATTACGATTTAAGCGGAACTCCGCGTCTTAGAGTCTGCATAGCATTTCGTTTAAATTGCGCAGCTGTTCGTCCTTGGTGGTGTCAACGACGAATAAGTCATGTAAGTAAACCTCTCTGGCTAGGGGCTGATAGGATAGTATGTGATAGGGGCTCTTCGGAGCCCCAGTGGCATGCGATTGAATTGGTATAGGCCTGGCGGAGTGCAAAAGACTGTCTTACACTAGTCGTTGTCAGCAACGCTAATCTGCCAGTACTCTGCTCGTTAATCGAGAAACGATAAGAACCTGCAGTGGCGACCTATGTCAATAGCGTGTCGATGCCAGAAAATGGGTACAAATCAGGCATTGTGCACTTGTTAAGCTGCTTGTTCTACGCAGAACCGCATGGATCCACCCTTCCTTACACACGAGCGCGACAAGGCGCTGCGCGGGGACTTGAAAAAGGCCTAATTATAGCCGCAAAGAGCATCTCGCATACTTGATCTGCGATAACGGCGCGCTTATCTCAGCGTATTTTCTAAGCGGTACGCATATCGTAGGATGCTGCCCGGTTGGTGTTCGGTGCAAGAGCATCTTAGTGCCTAGGAGGTCTGTTGTAGTGGCGACGAATAATAATTCATGCCAGGCCAACACAACTTGAGGATAGCTGGCCTCGTGGTGGCTCACCTCTCATAGTTGACAGGGGCACCTCCGTAGCCTCATCTGATGAAGGCCGGGGTCCTATACGACCATGATTAATGGTGGTGCGGACGTCGTCAGTCAGTAGGAAATCTGCACCCAGCATCGTGTTGGCATACGGGTCCTCTAAGACAGAAATAGTTGGGAGAAACTTTGTTCCTGCTGCCGGTCGGACATTCACGTCTATTATCGCCACAGGAGTTGCGATGCCTCCAAGTCCACGGACAAATGGCGTCAGGAGCGTGACGTCAGTGGAGCACCATTCATGCAGCACCGGCACCAACAAGCGCTGACAAGTCGCCAATCTTTCGACACGCACCGGTAACAGTACAGTTTGAAAGGCTTAATATTTAATGCGAAACTGGGACGCTTGGTGACACTCCTTGAAGTTGTGTCGAAGACGTCCGGCGGTAAAGCCGCCCGGTCGCGTGGAGGTGGTTGGGGACTGTCGAGCCTGCTGCGGCATGCCTAAAGTGAGGCGGCGTCGAGTACTCTGATGAAGTTCTGTGGTCTTGACGGATAGTGAAATTCCCGCCACCTTAAAGGACAGAATGGCCGCATGAGTGGCGTCACACACTCCGTCGACAGCGCACTGTCGTGCAGCGGGTTACTGCCTCGTGATGACACAGTCGTGAAGATTGATATGTGGCCCCACTGCGGTGGCCTAGTGATTAAGGTACTAGGCTGCTGGACCGCAAGTCGCAGGTTCAAACCCCGGCTGCGGTGGCTGCATTTCCGATTGAGGCGGAAATGTGGTGGTCCCGTGTGCTCCAGTTCCAGTTTGGGTGCAGGTTAAAGAACCCCAGGTGGTCGAAATTTCCGGAGCTATCCACTACGGCATCTCTCATTATCATATGATGGTTTTGGGACGCTAAACCCACATATCAAACAATTGGCTGAACACCAATGCGGAATATAATAGTGATGTTTACCGACCAATAGGAAAATATTTACTAAATCGGGGGACTCTAAATTTCACCCATGAATAATACTATTTATTGTCCGTGTGAATAGATTGCCCGAAGAAATGGTCGACGAAGCAGGCCATCCTAATGAGAACTCATCATACTTTTGAAGGCCCTCCTTGGCCGTGACTATGGTGACGGAGCCCGTCGACGCAGTACTACCGTTATTGTCAGGGCCTCGTCAGCGTCGTGTAATCTCACTTCTGTGACATTGGCTGTCGACGAAGTACTACCATTGGAGTTGGGGGCTTCTCTGCGTTCTTTATTCTGACAGCAGCGACGTTGGCCGTTGACGCAGTACTAGCCTTAATAACTAGGGGGCTCGTCAGCGTTATGTAATCTGACTACAGTGGCGTTGCCCGTGGACGCAGTGCTACCATTAGAATGAGAGGCTCTGTCAACGTGTTGTAATCGTGACTAAAGTGATGGGTGCCCGTCAGTGCTGTACCATCGTCAACCAGTGACGTGACAGTTGTTTTTGTGCCTACAACATTTGCCAACTGTGGCTTCATAATTATTTTTTACAATAATAATTAAAGAAGGGCTTAATCGTGAGAAGCTTCTGTTTCATTATATAGGACACATTCATCTGTGCACTAGAGAATGCACACTCTAATATTGTTGGGCATATCAATAGAGAAAACTAAGACGAGCAGCGTAACCTACACACTACCTTGGGGTACTCCAGATATATATATATAAAAGACCATAGCTCTAGTTTCCTAGTATAGCGTACTCTTCCTTATGGGAGTGGTAGAATTAAAACCGTATATCCTTGAACACATGTTTGAAAGTTTTATCAGATTTGGTGCACGTTACAGAACCCCAGGTGGTCGAAATTTCCGGAGCCCTCCACTACAGTGTCTCTCATAATCATATGGTTGTTTTGGGACGTTAAACCTCCCATATAAATCAAATCAAATTTTTATCAACCTTTAAGAGCAGTTTTTGGTGAGAAACTTTAGGAAAAGCTTTGGCAAAGAAAGGAATATTATGTCTATTTTTTGCGTTGATTTAAGGCACTATAAAGATGATCAGTCAACTCAACCACCTTAGTTACCATGAAGTTCTGCTTCCGAAAACCATGATCACTCAAATTTATGAAATGAAAATTGTTTATACATACCGATAACTGCTTTACCCAATGCGTTCAAGCAATTTCGAACATATAACAGTTAAGGCATTAAGTATGTAGTTAGTAAGATCCAACTTACTACCACCTTCACAAACAGTACAACATTTGCGAAAAAAAGGATAAGAGTAAAGTTTCCTAGTGCAGCATACTCTTCCCTAAGGAAGTTGTGGAATGAAAACCACATAATAATCAAAAACTTTTTTGAGATTAGCATTCTTTAGGAGCAGTCTTGGGCGAAACATTTTATCAAAAGTTTTGGCAAAGTGAAGAAATAATATGTCTACTTTTTTGCGTCGGTTTAAGGCACTATAAGGATCAGTCAACTGAACCACCTCAGTTACCGTGAATTTCTGCTTCCAAAAACAATGTTCACTGCAATTTATAAAATCGAAGCAATCTAGACATACCGACAACTGCTTTACCTGATGCGTGCAGTGAATTCGGAAGATATAACAACTAAGGAATTAAGTATGTGGCTACTAAAATTCAACTTACTTCGGCCTTCACAAACAGTAAATATTTGCAAAAAAAAGGATCATAGCGATAGTTTCTTAGCACAGCATGCTATCCCCTATGGGAGGGGTAGAATGAAAACCACATATTAGTCAACAAATTGTTGATAGCTTTGTCAATCTTTAGAAGCAGTCTTGTGTGATAAACTTTATCAAAAGCTTTGACAAAGTAAACGAATATTACGTCTGCTTTTTTGCGTTGATTAAGTCACTAGAAAGATCATCAGTCAACTCGACCACCTTAGTTATCTAAGTTTTGCTTCCGTAAACCATGATGACTACAATTTATGTAATTGAAGTAATCTAGACATACCGATAACTGCTTTAGCCAATGTGTTCAAGCAGTTTGGAATATATACGAAATGAGGAACTCAATGTGTAGTTACTAAGATCCAACTTACTACCACCTTCACACACAGCAGAATATTCGCGCATTATTAAGCCATTCGAAAGCAAGAAGAAAGTGAAGAGTGATTTATCACGGTAATTGATTTAGTAGACCAGTGCGCTATTCTATATAAAATTGTTAGGAATGTTACCGACACCACTCTTTATGCTAGCGATTTCCAGTAAAAGATTCAAGAGCCCCTATTCGTTACCCAGCACCATTTAGGTGATTGATTTATTTAAATTAGGTCAACCTTCGGTGCGGGACCTCATGTTTAGTGGGAGCATAGTGAAAAATTAGGTGAGCGACTAGCCCCACATTCTTGGCAATGCCATCGAAATGTCGGCTTTGACATCTCTAATGACCATTGTTTGATGATTCGGTGCACCATCACTATTTTTTACTGCAGCAGGTGAGTCGGAATATCAGAACCCTTATAAATAACCGTCAGAAATGAAAAGTTGCATTCTTCTATCTTGCAATCATACATAGGGAAGAACTGGCTTCTACCAATCAAAATGACTGGACGAAGCTTTTATAAAAAGCTAATAATTTGGTCTGAGAGCTTTTAAAGTGTCTGCTTTGTAAAACCTCACCTTAAAGAAACTACTTTGATCAACCACAGTGAATTCACCCTAGAATTTTTTTTGCTGTAGAGGTTGAACAAAAGTCCCTTTATGAAAAGGCTAAGACTCCCTTCCTGCTGCAAAAGCTCACGCGACTTCCTTAATGTACAATATTTTATGTCGTGCAACACTAGTTACTGTCATATGTGCGTTCATGGCTTTTTGTATTTTTTGCACATCCAGATGGTGAGCACTCGAGAAAAGATCTGGATGACGATGCGCACTTACGATAATCCACGGCGGGACTGCATCTACTGGTTAAACAACGGGCTCAATACCACCGACTATGACTTTTTTTACTGGGAGCGAAGGCTACCGCGACCAAGTAGTTGGAACAGTGGAGTAGCGTAAGTTGCTTGCAGCGTTAATGAAATGAAAGTGATGCATGAACACATACTTGCCTTCCGGTCGGAACTTTACAAATGCCGGTGACACTGCCACTTTATGCCACGCTTCATTTGTGTCAGTACAACAAACGTACCATCAAAAACCTGGGGTCAGATTTGGTTTTCAAAATGGTTCACTTAACGAGGCCATGACGCCGAATTTCCACTCATATGCTTTGTTTTGTTGTTTGATCTTTGCGTGTTCACAAACAAACTTGCGAAGTAATAGTGCGACAGAATCGACACTTTGACTACTTGGTTCAGATACATTGTACAACTGTTGTTTTAGCGCACGAAGAGACACAAAGAAACACACGACAAGCGCTTGGTCTGTGTTTCTTTGTGTCTTTTCTTGCGCTGAAACCATAATTATACCTTAAATATTGGCACATTTGATTGAGTGTTAACTTCAAAAGCAAACTTTTTCGTAATTTGCCAGCAACACGAGTGCCTGACCGCAGTGGTGCTCTCAGGACCCGTGATGGAAGAAGCGACTTGGCTTTGCGAGTGTGTTTCTTTCCCACCGATTTCGTTTCGTGTTCCACTGCATGTACCACACAGACATTTCGGCTATGTTAAGCTTGGCATTGAAAACTGAACGATTGTGAGAGATCTGAAACTTGTGGTCAGCTCACTACTCAGCGTAGCAGATGATCACCACGGGTTCACGCTTAGCGAGCTGCAGAGCTGCGACTCCGTCACCTACTCGCGTGTCGCACCGCTCCGCGCGCACTTAACTAACAAGGCGTTTAGTGCAGCGTGGCAAAATAGACAGTGTTCGAATAACAGATATACACCAACACTTTATTGCTGTTGGCGGCACCCCGAGCAACAGTACAACGTCCGCTCCCGGAACGCAGAGAGCAAAGGCTCCCGCACGCGGAAGTTCACATTAAGGGGAATACCCTTAACACGTCGCAGCTGGCCAATGCGAGCTTTCACATGCCGGTCGGGAAAAGGTCCCTTGCGGCTATGCTGCGCACTCTCAAGATGACCACTGGGCCTGGTCGCGAAAGTTAGGGCAAACCTCGTACGCGTAGGCCTACGGCAAGTGCGGCTTGGTGTGGTATGACCACTTCAAGCACTAGGCACCGCTGTTGGCTAGGCGTACGGTACCGAAGCTAGCACTCGAGTAAACACGCCTGCCGAGGTGCCAAAGCCACCCCAGGCAGGCTACATTCCGGCGATTCGCAAAGGGGACGCTAACGAAGGAAACATGTCCTTACCCTGGCGCCGACCAACGGAAGAGAGACGCGTGTTTGGAATTGCTGACCCTGCATCGCACGAAAGAGGGAAAAAAAGAGTGCGAGGAGGACGCTAGTACTAGCCTCAGGATTGCTCGTGCGCTATTGGTTCGCCTCTGGAGGTGACGTGCTGGTGACGCGCGTGCTGGTGACGTGATGAGACCGACTAAAGTTGCACATCTGCACCTCATTTTCAGCCATGCTGCCCGCACCCTTTCCGGCTAAGCGGCACAGTCCTTGCCATAATTCGTGGTAACGAGGGACGGGGTCTAGGTTACTCTATGAGGTAGCGAGGAAAAGACTTCCATTGGGTGCTCGAGCTGTCTACTCAGACGCCGCGGAAGCCTCAGAGAGGGCATTGTTAACTACCCCAAGATTGCCCACTTCGAGGTCATATGAAGCAAAGACATGGGGCGAATTTTCGCTCAGCCGCCGATCTCCCAAAGACACGCAGGCAGTCACTGTCGTCGTCTTGGAGCCACGGAAACACAGAGAAGTGTTAGCAGGCTGTTCCATCGTGCCAAAGCACCCTCGCCTTTTTGGTGTCTTGGATGGATCGCTACCGTGCGGCGAGGGCGCGAGCGAGTGAATTTCGATAAGATGGTGATAGCACGGTGATGGTTTCAATGAGCGAAGAGGTTCCGACTGTCAAAGTGAAGTGCCTCCGCGACGCCTTCAGCACAGACAGCAGCAATGCAACTAATACGACGTGGATCGTCGTATTAGTTGTCTTGCTGTAGCTGGCCATGCACTCTTGCGCATCCGTTCGTGCAGTGGTTGACGAGGAGGCACGTCACTTTAGGCGGGCTGGCCGAACTTGCGTCTATTTTACACGTAAATGTGCACGAGGCTTCCATGTCATTCGGAAGTGCATCGTTGACCAAAACACGCTTCACGTTTGATGTGTTAGCGTGCAATTCAGACGTGAGGCATCTGGGCGTCTGCCATGACAGTCGAAATTGCATTTCTGCAAAGGCAGTTGGAACTGATATGGTGTGTGACAGAAGTGCGATGCATGTGATCGAACGTTAGATGGTAATTTCTAACTTTAATTTGCACATGAGCACCGACCATGCCAGCAGTGGTGTGTATGATGTAGTGGCTGATTTATTAAAACAAAACAAAAAAGTCACTTCTACAACTCTTGCGGGTAGCACGGTTCGGCTCAGATGTTACAGGGAGAGGGAAACAGGGATGCAGAAAGGTAGAGAAAGAGTGTGGTGGCAGTTTGTGGGTGCTTCTCTATACGATGGAGCAGCCGGTAAAACTCCGCACATTCCATCGCGGGCGCATGCGTGCGTCACCAGCACGTCACCTACAGGCGTGCATGTCCTTTACCCAGAGGAACCAATAGCGCGCGAACAATTCTGACGCTGGCAGTGGCGTCCTCCCACACTCTTTCTTTTCGCTCTTTCGTGCGATGCGGGGCCAGCGATTCCAAATACGCAAGAGAGACCCTTTTCGGCACGGTGCTTTTCGGCATGCACGTGACTAGGCCTCCCGGTGCTCGCCGCCCCCAAGAACACGCGCCGCGCCCGCGCGTGTCGCCATCTATCACCACGCGCTGTTACCAGAACGTGGAAAAAGAAAGAGAAAGGGAGCGGCTGTACGGCGGAATGCCCACGAAATGGTCGCGGGTACACCTGAGATACCCACAAACTGAAGTGGCAAACTGCAAGTATACACTCGAAAGATACATTGACGTGACACGCGCCATGGCGAAATCGCGGTCAACGGCGGCGGGCGGAGCTTATCGTTGGCGACTTCTAGTGAACTCATTGCGATGAAATGTCCTTTTCAACGTCCAGTTTTATCTAAGTACAGGCAGAATAAACCTTGCACTCCCATGTTTCGCTGAACGCCACAATTTTTTCGGGGACTGTAGCATCGCCCCTTTAACAATGGCTGTATGCAAACAAAGTGTTATACACCTCGGTCCAACATAATTAAACAAAGTTTCTTAACTGTGTTTGAACACAGGTATTTACTTGATTCCAGCATATATTATTCCCTTTGTGGTGTTCCTTCTTGAGCCAGCACCAAGTACAGCTTGGAACATTTTCCCTTACTAACCAGGGAAGCTTTCTCAGCGTTTTAACCTAAAGGGGCCCTAAAAAACTGTTTTGTGTAACCAAGAAATTAAATCACTGGAAAAGCGTATAACCTCAAAAATTGAACGCCACAAAAATTTTAAGAGATCGTCCAGTACTAGTGGAGTTGCAAAGAATAGTCACACGCTGCAATCACATTCTCTCTTCTCTCGTCCCGACAGAAGCACTGGAAGCTCAGCAGGAAAGGGTGGGAGGGGAAAAAAACTGTTACTGACACCTCGGGACCTTGACCATTTTTTTTCCTTTTTTGGGGGGGAAGTGGGGAGCGACCTTCAACAGAAAAATTTTGGTCTGTCTGCCCATTTGTCTATTTGTCCACCTTAAACGATAGCCTAAAGTCTAAACAGCACTAAAGATAACCCCAACCGACCACCCCGTTCGCAGCGCTCACCAATATTGCTGAAGGTTCAGCGCTCCTACTTGTGTGATCGTCAAATAAAAAGCAATATTGCGCACATCGGAGGCACCATAACAATACGTAAATATTCTGTATGTGCGTCTTTTACTAGAAATGGCACACAGAAGTAATTCTGAGGAACGTAGCACTCATCACGCTGCGCTGACGATGCAATGCTTGCACGAAAATGCAAGTTTTTCATTGCGTTGCTAAGAAGACATGGTGGTGGCACCTACCCATCGCCTTGCGTTCCACACCTTATCACCTCTGAGACGGGCGCGCACGCCATGCGCGCTTTGTTTTCTAAGATAAATGCCAGATAGCGCTCATGTCTGACGTGTGACGTGACGTGATGGGCTCGTTCGCCTCCACTGCACGCTCGAGGCGCTCTGACGCAGCGCTTGCCGAGTACCATTCACCGATTTTCTTGCAAAGAACATCAAATAAACGTTTTGTTTACTCCGTCCAGAAGCAAGACTATCGTCTTTCTGCAACATTTGCAGTATATCATGTAGATACGGGACCAATTTTTTTCTTCGAATATGCGGCTATTTCAGTGCAATTGCGCGCAAACGCGTGGAAAAGGGACGGCCTCTCGCGGCGACCTACTAACAACTGAATGCGTCATCTTGAAATCAGCACATGGCTGATAAATCGGCTTATTGGGCTTATTTCCCGTCATTTGTTAAAAGAAGAGAAAGCTATTTTTAGCTGACTTTGATACCTTATTGTGAATTTCAAGCCGCGTGCTGCGCCATAATATTTAGCTCGCGTGTTGTCCGTAGCCTCTACTACCAGCCGGCAGCGTTTTCTGACCATGCTCAAAAAGTGTTGCAGGGCCCCTTCAACAAGACACTTCTGTTGCCAGATACTTCGTAGGCGCCGAAGTATGGTTTGCCGCAATCATGATACTCCTTACAAGCTTCGGCTAACTTAAATTTTATTGAGTAGTTTGGAGTAGAAGTTTAGAGGTTTTGTGTTACGCGATGATTCACATATTAGCTATTAAAGAGCACATGACAATGTGTAGCAAACGTCAATTATTCTTTTAAAATATATGGCGGCTAACCGTTACGTAGTTTGTGATTCCACAGTAGCTGCATAAATAGCTTTGAAGCTGCTGGTAGAGTAGAAAGGGGCTTGGTCGAAGTTCTGAAATCTGCCCTTTCATGATGCCGCAGCGCACATGCCCCTACCTGGCGGTATTGT